AGAGGTTTATCTATGCTCCTTGCCTGGAAGATGAATTGACTGCATTCATTTGTGGCTTAATCTTTGGCTATCTGTTCAGAGGAAGATTTTAGAGAGGATGTTGTCTCAGTTTCTAAATCGATGAAGAAGCAATGTCAAAGATCCCAAACTAGCCGACTGCTGCTTCCAGAAGTGCTGGCCTCATCAGCATGAATCTCCCCTTCAGGAAATGGTGCTCATATTTTCCTGTCTCAAGCCTTTTAGAATTCCCTTTATCTAGCTAGCTAAGGCAGTCACTCTGAACTTGGGGAAATGGCTGAGCCAGGTAGGGCTTAGGAGAAAGCAATATGCCTAGTTTTCTCTCTGGATGTGCAGCTGCCCTAGCTTAGATACTTCCTCCTAAGGAAGATGGAGAGCAGGATGCCCAAGCTAGTGATGTGCGCAATCTTTCCCTCTATGTTGAAGGATGCTGTAAACTGCAGGTCCCAGTCGGCCCTATTCTTCTGAGGAGCCAGCTGTGTGGCTAATCCAGCATGTTAGGCAGGTAGCAGATTAGCTGTGTCTTTGAGCTACATTGTCTCCATTTATGACGCTCCAGTGGGAGGCAGTCAGTCATAAATGCATCTGCATAGAGAAATAGAAGAGCATGACCCAAGAACACAAGATAGTCAGGGTGAATCTGGCTATTTCTGGGCTTCCATCCAATGGCCTTCTTCTAAGATGCAGCATCACAACACACTAGCTTGTGAGCTGCTTGCTATGGGGATTGGTCCATCTGGCTATTCTAGTTCTCTTTGGTAAAGAAATGCCGTCATATCTATATATGGATCTTTCGGTATCCTCATTGCCAAGTGGGCATGAATCAGGCAAGACCCTAAAAGCTGTGTGTGTCACACTTGGAGCTATACTTCCCATGGTGTCATTTCCCTAATTTATTTCTTAAAAAGGCTTGCTATGACTCACTTTCAGCTTTCTATAGCCTTTGAATATGCCCTCTTCCGAGGTTGTTTTGTTGCTGTTAAAAGTATCCTGAGTCTCATCACCTTAAAGTTCTTCTTTCTTCCTGGGGCTGCTATGAACTCGTGTAATTTTTTTTAAGACTTCTTTGTATTTATCTGCGTGTCTGTGCATGTGTGTGCCACATGCCTGGGAGTGCCTGCAGAGGCCAGAAGATGGTGTCAGACCTGCTGGGTTAGAGTTACAGGGGTTTGTAAGCTGTCTTGTATGGGCGCTCCTCACTTCTGACACGCCTCTCCATCTCCCGTGGGTACTTATTTAGAGCAGGTGGAATAGGCGCTATGTGGGATGCACGCCCAGCTCTACTTTTTCACAGAAAACGCCCATCTTCATAAGGCAGCCATGTTTGTATTAAATGGATTCCTGACAAAGAAAATATACAAGTTCAGTACAGTGTCGTAAAACTCAGTTTCCAGTATTTCTGAATCAAGGTTGTTTGAATCCCTTGATGTAGAAATGGGCTTTCTTTGGATTGCCAGCTTCCAAATAATGACACTGAGACTTATTAAGTTTGAAATCTTGGCCTTAGCATAGGCTTTTCGCAACAAGCTCTGAAAACTTAAAATAATCCATTATATTAATCTACATTCTGCCTTGTCGCTCATTACCTCTGCTCAGTATCATGTGTCCTATTTCTCTGTATTTGGCTGGAAAACCCCAAACACCTCAGATTCTTCTCAGAGTTCCTCTATTTCCCTAGAAGTCACACCTCTCTTCTCCTGCCTAGCTATTGGATGTTCAGCTCTTTATTAAACCAATCAGAAGGTGCCTTGGCAGAGATGCAGCTTCATGGTAGACAAAAAGATTATTCCACAACATTTCCCCTTTTGTCTAAATAAAAAGGAAAGGTATTAACTCTAACACAGGTAAACTATATACAATGAAAACAATTATTAAATAAGAATTTCATTCACAATGCCCAGTTTATTCATATTTGCCAAATTCAGAGAAGGTTGCTATTATCTATCCCATTTTAATGAGTAAAGTTTTATACTGAAACCATTTTCAATAATAACTTGTATTATCAGTTTTAAAAATATCCTTTTTGAGCTTAAAACATTTTCTTAGATTTAACAGCTAAAGTTTTGATGTCTCTTGACTTTATAAACTTCACATCTCTTTTGTGAGAGTCTACTGAATTTGGTGACAATGAAAACTGTAAAACTGTAACTAATTTAGTCTTCATCCCCATAAGACACCTGAGAAAGATAAATTATTACCTGAGTAAACAGGGAGTGAAGAGCAAGCAACTTTCAAAACTATAGAAATGATAGATATAGACAAAGACAGCTTGTTCATTTCCTGGCCCTTCAGACCCAAAATAATCTTACAGAATCACACAGGGGGTATTGTTAATCAGGTATTTCATGGGTATCCTGTGTGGTAGGTTCATCTCAGCTAGCAGTCCTGAAGCTGTCATGGATATTGAACCATCTAGGTCATCGCCTCATGGGGTCTTGTTTGATCAAACCATATTAGCCAGTAAGGAAAACAGCTTTCTATCTTCTGTGGAAACAAACAAACAAACAAAAAAAAAAAAAAACAGAAACTCTTTTTCAAAGCAACATATCCTTAGACCTAAATTTTGAAGTCAAGATACCTTTAAATATATATATGCTTAGCTTAGCAGCCTGTACAATGAAATGTCTCTCTGTACTCATTCACAGTCAAAAAAAATTCAAAGAAAGCAAACAGTATACATAAGACAGACTCTGTGTATTTTACATTGTTTTTTTTTATTTATTAAAAATTTCCACCTCCTCCCATTTCTCTCCCACTCTCCCCCCTCCCCCTCCCCCTTTCTTCTCTAGTCCTAAGAGCAATCAGGGTTCCCTACCCTGTGGGAAGTTCAAGGTCCTCCCCTCTTCATCCAGGTCTAGGAAAGTGAGCATCCAAACAGACTAGGCTCCCACAAAGCCAGTTCATGCAGTAGAATCAAAACCCAGTGCCATTGTCCTTGGCTTCTCATCAGCCCTCATTGTCAGCCACATTCAGAGAGTCCGGTTTGATCACATGCTCATTCAGTCCCAGTCCAGCTGGCCTTGGTGAGCTCCCATTATATCATTCCCACTATCTCTGTGGGTGGATGCACCCCTCGCGGTCCTGACTTCCTTGCTCATGTTCTCCCTCCTTCTGCTTCTCATTTGGACCTTGGGAGCTCAGTCCAGTGCTCCAATGTGGGTCTCTGTCTCTATCTCCATCCATCGCCAGATGAAGGTTCTATGGTGATATGCAAGATATTCATCAGTGTGGCTATGGGATAAGGCCAGTTCAGACACCCTCTCCTCTGCTGCCCAAGGAACAATCTGGGGACATCTCCTTGGACATCTGGGAACACCTCTAGAGTCATGTTGAAATAGGAGCGGCAGGGCTGCATCCCTGGCACCCGGCCGCCCGCATGGCTAGCTTATGCCCGAAATAATTACACGGAAACTGTATTCTTTCAAACACTGCCTGGCCCGGCTAGTTACAGCTTCTTATTGGCTAGCTCTTACATATTGTTCTAACCCATTTCTAATATTCTGTGTAACCCACGAGCTGGCTTACCAGGGAGGATCTTAACCTGCGTCTGTCTGGAGCGGGAGAATCATGGCTACTCCTTCACTAAGCTTCTTTCTCCCAGAATTCTCTTCTGCTTTCTCCACCCACCTAATGGTGGGCCTATCAAGGGGCCTAGGCAGTTTCTTTATTAATAAGAAATCACTCCCACATCAGAGTCAAGTCTCTTGCCAACCCTCAAATGGCTCCCTTAATTAAGATATCTACTTCCCTGCTCCCATATCCACCCTTCCTCCATCTCAACCATCCCATTCCCCCAAGCTCTTCCCAATCCTTCCCTTCTCTCTCCCCATCTCCCTTTACCCCTACCCCACCCCCACCCCTGTGCTCCCAACTTTTTCCTGGCAATCTTGTCTACTTCCAATATCCAGGAGGATAACTATATGGGTTCACCTTCTTATTTAGCTTCTCTAGGATCACGAATTATAGGCTCAATGTCTTTTATTTATGGCTAGAATCCACTTTTGAGTGAGTACATACAATATTCATCTTTTGGGGTCTGGGTTATCTCACTAAGTAAAGTGTTTTCTATTTCCATTCATTTGTGTGCGTTTTCCATCTTTACATGGCTTATGTTTCTTACTCTATTACATTTTTTTTTACAAATCTACTCTTTTATAACTGTCTATACTCTTTTTTCCCTCTCTCAAGCCTATGTACATTTATCCAACACTGTGTCTTATTTAGAAGTATTTTTCATCTGAATCTGTCTTTATTGTGTATCTGTAATTATTTTTTAACCAAGAGTGCTTTTTTTTAAATGCTAAGTGGGCACAGCAAGGACCAATTCTGTGACTCTGCCTGTTGATCCACCCAGTGCAACATGTGTAGTGCCAGCTCTGTGAGCCGTTCTCTCCTCTCAGCTCCAAAGACACAGTAGGTCTTTGTCTCCATTAAGCAATTTGAATTTGTAACATGCTGTTCACAGACCCCATTTAAGGGCTTAGCCTCGTGAAAGAGCGAGAGCTGTTTGTGCAACTAGCAAGAACCAGGAAGCCCTCCCCCTAAAGAAGCTGCACAACCTTCACTGCCAATGATGAATCAGGATGATCTCTCTTAAAGGAGCTGCAGTGCCCCAGCTCACCACCAGCAAACAGAGTCCATCCAGAAAAAAATAATGCAGCCTCCAAGAAGTTGCACTAAACTGTTATTTTGTGTCTAGAATTTCTTACCAAGCTCTCTCAGGTTTTATGTGGATATAGTTGCCCATGTTGGGTGCCAATTTGTAGACAGAGACTGTTTGTTTTCCCAGCTGATAGACCTAAAATAATCACACAGAAACTGTATTAATTACAACACTGCTTGACCGATAGCTTAGGCATATTCCTGGATAACTCTTATATCTTAAATCAACCCATTTCTATAATTTCGTGTTTTGCCACAGGGCTCATGGTTTACCAGTAAGTTTCCCAGGCATCTGTCTCCTTTGGCATCTCCCTGACTCTCCTCTTTCCTCCTCTATCTCTGCTTAGAAATCCTGCCTTGCTCTATTCTTCCCTGCCAGAGGCCCAAAGCAGCTTCTTTATTAACCAATAGTAACAAAGAATCTTCACAGCATACAGAGGGGAATTTCACATCAGATAGAGACAGCTGGCTGCCTAGAAAATCACCCAAGTTTCCTCTGCAATGTTGGGATATCCATATTTTGCCTCCAGGCCTAGAATATCTGATAGACTATTCTATGGAGCAGGAATTTTATAGGACTGGCTGACCTTATCTTGACTTCCTTTGTGTCCTGCTTATCCAATACAGACAGCATACTGTTAGCAGTCGAGGCAAGGGCAGTTTATTTTTTAACCAAGAGTCTAGCTTTGCCAAATTGAAAGCAAACTCTGTATGGAGGTTCCTCAATGCCTATCATCTTCTCTGAAGTAGATTGGTGCTTCCAGGAGCAGACTTGTTTCACTGTCATGAAATGGGTTATTAAAATATCTTAAATGCCATGTTCTGTAGATCTCTGAAATGTTTGAATATCATCAATCTATCTAAATTATATCTCTGTTTAACCTTGAAGGCATATCTAACATGACTACAAGTTTGATTGTTATAGATGACTAACCACTGGCCTGCATTTCTTACTTATCCTAAACAGTTTGTAATAATAGCTTTCAAGGACTAGAACTTTGCATTACATTTTAAAATAAACTACATAGGTACAATAAGCAAGAGTAGAAACACATATACAGTATATTATAACAAAATAACCCTAAACTTGTATCAGTATAAAAAAAACCCACACCAATGTACAATATTTGAGACTAGTAGTTGCTTTTTCTTTTAAAATTAGATTCAATAATCTACCATTTTATCCTGTCATTTCTATATCCCTCCTCCCTTTTCTCACTAGATAGGAAAGAAAGATAGAGGAAAGAAAAAGAAAGGAAATCCTTTAATCTAATCTCCTTTGTTTAGTTTCCTCCCTGACCATGACCAAAAACAACTTGCAACTAGCCTCCCTAAACAATGACAAACATCCATAGCCCACTGAATAACCAAAAACCATCCATCTCACCTCTTGGGAAAGTGGGTGTCATGTTCTTAAAACTACTTTCTGTAATCTGGGAGTGATGGCATCTTTAGGGGGCCCTGAGAACCTGGGAAAATGATCAAGTCCCAGAAGAGAGCTAAGTGAATCATTTATTGTCCGGTCTCTGTGTGATGGGAAAGTGTAGAGTTTAGCTGAAGGTCTGGCTGGAGTAATTTGTGAGGCTAGGCCATCTTAGTAGCTGCTTTGAGGTTTTCCTGTGTGCAGATTTTTGAGGCAACTACAACAGAGGCATTCTGAGAGGCTGGCTCACCTGGGCTACTTGTCTTGCACAAGTATGGAATATGCAGCTTGCACACATCAGCTAAAGATCATGGGATTGTTGACAGCATTCTCTCCCCTGAGCTTTGTAGACACTCAATGTAAATTTCAAATGATTCTTTTAAGGAAATTGTAATTTTTGTTCGTCTCTCAATTTCACTTTTCTTCAGACTTTTTTTTAAAGAAAACAAACTTTGGTGCAAATCTCTGGTTCCCCTCTACTCACGCTCTCCCACCACGTGCACCCTCCAGACTGTGTTTCAGGGGTGCCCTCTCCTCAGTTTGTGTCACTCAGGTGTTGGATCAGACCACACATACCTCTACCAACTGTCTGGACAGTGCCCCCCTGACAGGATGTGGCTGCTTTGGGCTCAGACCAAGGGGGAACATGGGAACCAGCATTCTCCACTCCCAGCTCCTCCTGCGGTGGAAATGCGAGGCTGTGTAGGTGAAGCAGATTTTTCCAGAGTAGACTCAATACATGGACTTGCCAGGTGGGAGTGAGCTGGAGTGAGCTTGTATGTTAAAGTCAGGCCTGTTCCAAGGAGAATTAATAACCCAGAGGCCTGAAGGGCCGCGTGGGTGAATAGCTGGCTTTCGTCTGAGTGTAGGGTGGGCTCTGCTCCCCCAAACTGAGCTCCCAAGACCTCCCAGCCTGTGGGTATGCATCTGCATTTTCTTTTTTCCCAATGCACAGCTCCCAAAGCCAGGCGATAATTTTTAAAGGCTTCTAAGCAGAAATATATTTCTAAGTACAATGAAGACTGTTCAATTCTATGCTCATGGATAGTAATAAACGTTCATTTCCTTCTGCTTCCAGACAATAGTAACAGGCTCATGGGAACACAAGGAAAAGGTGTTCTATAGGCCCTGAAGTTCCTTCACCCTCGGACAACACAAAAGGCCAGGCTGAAGCTCTGAAGTGGACACAGGCCTGACCTCGGGCCTGGAATACTTGGACTGCCCCTCCCCCCAGACCAGCCCAAGGAGGTGAGGCTTGATGAAGGCTGATAATCTTATCTAAGCAAAGGCCACTTTTCCAGGCATCTAGGGAAAGGAGGTTCAAGTAAAACACTTTCTGGAGCAGATTTGGACTATGATTTATGGACAAGCTGTGAACCACCCAGTATGTAATCAAAGCAGAACTGCTTCCAGGCTTTCCTTTCTCCACCTGTGCCTCTCCAGGAAGGGTGACTTTGCCCTCCAGATTAGAACATAGTTAGACGTCAGAGCCAGGTAAAATTGGAAGGATGCTTGAGATACCTTGTGCTGCCCACTTTGCAACTTTGTAATAGTATATTCCACATAGCTTTTTACTGAAGTTTTGTAATTGTTCTTCCTGACTCTTTCATTTCCCCCTCTATTTGTTTCTATTACTATGAGAGAAATTGAAACAAACTTAGCAACTTAAAACACCCCTTTAGTGGTCATCAGTTCTGGGAGCCGAGAGTGCAGCTCAGTCATGCACAAAGGGCATCTTGGCTCAGGGTTTCTCAAAAGTGAATCTGTGGCATTAGCCAGGCACAGTTCTCTCTGGAAACTTTGAGAGAAAGTCAGTTTCAGCTCATTCATGCAGTCTGCTTTCTCACTGGCTGTTGGCTAGGATTGCTCTTAGCACCTGTTCCAAGCCAGGTGCCCACCCCCATTCCTAGTGATGAACCCATGGCAGAGATATTCCCCAGGAAGTACCCAGCACATGTGAAGTGCCTTAAGTGCCTCTGCAAAATTACAGACCAGCACCTAGATTAGTATCTGACAAGATAATTGGTGGGCGTGTGTACACCCAGGGGGACAGAAATCTTAGGGGTCATTTAGGTTCTGTGTAGAGCAGTATGCTTTTTTAGGGCAAAGCTGTGACTCATGCATCTTTGGTACACAACAGATGCTCCACAGTTACTGAACTAAACTGGTTTCAAGGAAGACAGGGGGAATCAGGAAATTGTTTTACATGGTCAAGTTCTAGACAAGCTAAGGAAAAGATCCAGACAGCTGTGTTTTGCACGATGCCTTTGGGCTTCAGTTGACTAAGGGAAGTCAAGAGAAAGAAAAATTCCTGCCCCGGAAATGATCTAAGCAGTTAACTGTGGGACAACACCTCTGAGCTTTCGGGAATAAGAGGTGCGTTAGCTGGACTTGGCTAGACGGCCAGTTCGCTTAGGCCGTGGCCTAGCACTCATGTCCACAGCCTCAGCTAGCAAGCCTCCTGGGTCTGTAGGCCCACTTTAAAAACAACCACGGATGGCCATTTATAGAATGGATGCTATTTCATGTGTCCCTTCAAGTGCAAGGACTCTTGCACTTCCTGCGGTCCAATGTGTCTCTTGAGCACGCAGCATCCAGAACAATCAACAGGTGTAGTCAATGGTCAGGCCACATGCTTTCCAATGAGCTGGGATCAGTGTATACAGAGCTTGCCTGTATAGGAAAAGGACGACTCTAGATTCAATCTTTAGGAACTCAAAATGCAAAACAATGCCCCAACTCCCGAAAATCAACAATCAAAACAATCGTTGGTCATTCTAGGACACTCAACATAAGTTTGGGCCGAATCATAGTAAAGGTATTTCTAAAAAGCACATCTTCCTCCCAAATCAGTCTAGAAAACACATTCAGGGTTCCTTGGAGGGCCGAATTTTGATTTCTGTAGATAGCAAAGCTGTTTTCCTAGGCTCTCGCAGCACCTCTACCATCCACCCTGGCAAGGGCCAATCTGTCTGTAGTTCTGGGAGCGACTCAGACGCTGGGGTAAGACTACTACACTGGCTCCACACCAAGGGTCCGGAGCCAGCTCCGCCCCACCCCGCCACCACCTGCGGAGATGGGCGACCCGCCCATATCCTGACGTCACCGAACTCCGGGCAGCGCCGGGTCGGGCTCCGGGGATTGGTCAAGGCTCGTGACGTCACGATCCCGGGGCGGCCCCGGGCTGGCGGGGCCCCCGGGTGCTTGGGTTCCTTTCAAGACGGGCGGCGGGGGTGGGGGCGGGGCGGAGGCGGAGCGGGCGGTGTAAACAGACCCGGGAGCCGCGAGCCCCGGAGGAGGCGCGGGTGGCGCCGCCATGGACTTCCAGCAGCTGGCAGATGTCGCGGAGAAGTGGTGTTCCAGCACACCCTTCGAGCTCATCGCCGCCGAGGAGACCGAGCGCAGGATGGACTTCTATGCCGACCCGGGCGTATCCTTCTACGTGCTGTGTCCGGACAACGGCAGCAGCGACAGTTTTGTGAGTACTTGGAGAAGGCGATCTCCGCTGTGCCCGAGCTCCTCCAGGGAGGCTGGGTGGGGTGGAGTGGCAGCGCCAGGGCGCCCGGGGCCGCAGAGCCAAGGTGTGGCGACCTCCCGGACCACCCCGTGCTCGACGCGTGGATCAGAGCATCCCCAGGGAGTCCTTGTGTGACATCCGCCGGGCGGGGCGCACAGCCCCTGCGTCTAGATCCGAGGTCCGGTCCAGGGAGATGTTCTTACCCTTCGGGATCTTAGACACAACTCTGCAGCCGCCCCTCCCCGGCAAGGTCCCCGCCCCAGGCTGCAAATCCCTCGGAAAGACACAAAGCCTCTGTCTACACCCGCAATGCTAGATCTTTTGGACCCTATTTGCGGAATTACGCCCAGGAGCTTGAAAATGCACGCGCGTGCACACATGCGCGAGCGCGCTCTCTCGGGGTGGGGGCACGCCTATTCCCGGTTCCACGCTTCCCTAGCTCCTCAATGAGCTGCCAGGGAGTGTGTGTTCCCAGTGCAGGTTCTGGCCAGCCATGAGGCTTTTGTGACCCCACCGAGGCCTTTCAGCTTTTCCAGAGAAAGAACCTACACAACCCGGCCCAGAGGGACCAGGACCAGGAATTACGGTGACCAAACGTTCGGCCTGCATCCCGCCCACTAGGGATCCTGGCGCTGACAGTTTAGGAAGGGGATACGGAGAGCACGAGGTTGTGACGGGAGGCGTGGAAGCAGGGCGGGGATGGCACGCCATGGAATGTTCGTAAGCACTATAAATAATAGTCCCCAAATGTAAGATGGAGGCAGCTGGGAATGAGGGTTATCGTGTGGTCGCTGGCCTGTGGCTGGAGCAGGCGCTGCTGCTGCCGCTGCTGCTTCTGCGGAGGGAGATGGGCGGTGCATCGATTGGCTTGGCTCATCAGGTGGAATGACAAAGCTGGACATGGACCCCAGGCCCGGCGCCCCAGACCCATTCATGGGGAAGTTCAGCTTAAGACCCGTGAGACCCAATCTCAAAATAAGTATCTCACCGGTAGAATAGTTCACAGTGAAGACAGCTAGACCTTTCTCAAACCCAGACAGGACAAGCATAGGTTGGGTGCACACCTGGCCAATATGCTCCTGGCTTTGGGTGGCAGCTAGATTTGAGTTCTGTCCACTTGTCTTGAGTTGCCTATCCACAAAATTGGCTTCCTAATACCAGTTCTCTGGCGATCATTTAGGTACATCTAGCAGTCTGAGGCACAGCATGCATCCTGCAAATTTAAAGTTCTGGGACCTGGTGTTCCCCACTCCCTTTGTTAAAACCCCTTGCCTGGAATAAAGGATGTAGCTTGGTGGATAGAGCTCTTGAGTAGCATGTGTAGAGCCCTGGGTTGGACCCCCAGCACTGCAGAAGTGGGGATGGGGAGGTGGGGGTGTAATCCCTACAATCCCTGTCAGCCTAGGATCCTGAGCCCTCACCCCAAACAGTTTTCCCAGTGGAGACAGATTAAACTATTGATTCATGTAAGCACGCCTCAGCTGTCTTTACAGTGTTGGCTGACCATCTGGAGGAGGGGATGAGGAAGAGAGGATAACTCCTTGGACACATTAGCACTGTCGCAAAGATTCTGGAGACGGTGATGGACAAGTTGCCAACCATAGGTGTTTTCTTAGCCATATTGCTCCTCGAATCTGCCAGGTTGAGTGTGCTAAGAGCGCTCACCTCTTGGGTCTTGTCGTTTTTTTCGGAAAATCTGTTAGAGCATCCAAAGAAGTTTGAGTTAAGTGGTATTTCTGCTATCTGAAGATGTGGGTAACAGAAGAATATAACATAGCACCTCTCAATTTACAAAGTTTTAGATCATTGAAAAACTTGCAAACATTGATGAGGGGCTTGATCTTTCCTGGGTCAGGGCTAGCCAACATACAAATGGCATTGTGCTCATTAGGACATTTAGCTAGCTCAGAAGTGATATAGCAGCCCTGATTCTGCTCAGACATCCAAACTCCTACTTCTATGTGCTTAGAGACATCCTTGAACCCCTCTCTGGCAGCTTAAACATCTGTGGTCTGTTACCGGACTTAAAGTGGCAGCCTGTTGTCAGTGCCTGGTGGGGCTGCTGGAGAACGTTTCTGGCTTGAGCTCAGCCCTTATATCTGGGAGCCTGTGTTATGGCAATCACTGTAAATGTTGCTGCCGTCCATATGATAGGTCCTAGCCCCAATTAAAAACCTCCTAACTTCCTCTTCCTCACTTCTGTGGTCCAGATCATCAGAGTTGTACCAGCATTGTGGGTAAGGCATGTGCGGTGCCCTCCATGACTGTGAAAGCAGCCTAGCCATCTCCACCAGCGTCTCTCTAAAATACAATCTAGAGCTGGGCATGGTGGTGGTAAGTCCAGCATATAGAAGGCGGGGTAGGGGGATCTCAAGCCTTTGCATGACCTATCTCCTGACATTTCTAAGTTCCTATAGCACAGGCTCTTCCTGCCATAGGGCCAGTGAGATCTTAGGATCCTACCCTCAACTGCTGGGGTTAAAAGTTTTTAAGTGGGGACCGGGGATCTGAACTCAGGACTACATGCTTGTACCATGAGTATTTTACCCACTGAGCCAGTCTTTACCCATCTGCTCAGCCTTGAAAGATGACGCCTTATTGGGCCTCATGAAAGTTCTATGAGGTAGATGTTATATCCATTTTATAGGTGAGGAAATTGAGACTCTGATAGCCCAGACTCTGTGCCCTTGCTGAAGATTGGCCCATGGTAGCTCCAGAGACCCAAGGACAAAGATTCTTTTGATTGCCACTCCTCTGGGCAGCTCATTGTTGTCTCAGGCCATCCGCCAATGTAGCCCCTTTTCAAACTGCCCATCATGCCGGGAGTTGTGACTTTGCAAGTGGCAGGAAGGCCTGTGCCACCCAGGCAGACAGCAACTGGATGGCAGTTCCCTCTTCTGCCAACTCAGAAGGTCCTGGTGGCTATCAAGTTTGAGAAGGGAAATGTGGGCAGCCATTCAAGTACCAGGTGGACAGAATTGTGTTTGTGAGCGCATGCATGTGTGTGTGTGTATCCAATTGGTTGCTCTCCTTCCTTGTCCGTTAACTGAGAAATGCCCTACCATCACCTAGACTAGAAATTACTGATTGTGGGGAGGCCTCTGTTTACCTAATAGTTCCACCTTTTCTGACAACCCAGAAGAAACATGTGCATCCACATTTTTGTGCAGTTTTATCCACCCTCAAACCCACACAGAAACAATAGTCATATTCTTAAAGAAGCAATACTCACAGAGGGACTCTGGCTATCTCTTCTATGTATGTTTACATAGTTGTAACTTGTGAGCGTGTCTCTGTGGTGTATTTAAATGGAGCTGCCTTGTGGTTTTGTGATGGTGTGAAGGAGGAAAAACTTCCCTCCACCTGCTCCTTTTGATTTCCCCACCCACAGAGTGGACTAATCATATGCTAAGCCGTTCTTACTGTGAGCACTGTATGAAGAGTCCTGTGTGCGGTGGCGTTGCCTTATTCCTAGATGTTATTTCAGGGGAGAACAAATCCACTTGTATATTCAGCTAATCATGAAGAGGGTAAAGTCAGGGTGCTGTGAGTCCAAATAACAAGCATTTGTTGATTATCTGCTAAATGGTGGGCAGTTTGCAGGCAGACACCTGAGCTCCTCAGACCCCCTCTGGGAATAACCTGTCTGTCACGTACCTGTGACTGAGTCAAGGGTCCCTTAAGCAGCTTGCACAGAGGTAGTTGAGGGTATGCATGCAAGAAGGGGTGCTCCCTGCCTTCTGCTGCACATGTAACCTCAAGCAAGTTATTTAGCCTTTTGTACCTCAGTTTCCTCCCCGACGGAATGTTCAACACAATGAGCAGGCTGCCTTAGTTATGGCTAACCATGCTCTTCCCCCTGGGTGTGCTAGTACATTGGATGCCACAAGGTGGCTTGTGGTTTTTCTGTTCTGTCTGCTCCACAGACAGACATCGGTTTTAGGTTAAGAGACGCCAATGTTGAAATAAGTGCGGCGGGGCTGCGTCCCCAACACCCGGCTGCCCGCATGGCTAGCTTATGCCCGAAATAATTACACAGAAATTGTATTCTTTCAAACACTGCCTGGCCCGTTATCTGTAGCCTCTTATTGGCTAGCTCTTACATATTGTTCTAACCCATTTCTAATATTCTGTGTAGCCCATGAGCTGGCTTACCAGAGAGGATCTTAACCTGCGTCTGTCTGGAGTGGGAGCATCATGGCGACTCACTCACTCAGCTTCTTTTTCCCAGCATTCTCCTCTGTCCACTCCGCCTACCTAATTTTCTGTCCTATGAGGGCCGAGGTAGTTTCTTTATTATCAACCAATGAAAGCAACAGATAAGATACAAGACCCACCTCCATCACGCCAATTAAAAATAGAGCTACAAGTGAGTTCCGGGACAGCTAAGACTGTTATCCTGTCTCAGAGAACCAACAATACCTCCCCTCCCCCAAAAAGAGCAAGAATAGCAGACACTCCTGACTTCAGCTCAGATGGTCCATGGGGAAATTGGTTTTAGGACCTTCTTCAGCTGCCCAAATCTGAGACTGCTCAGAGCTGTTGTGTGAAATGGCATCTTTACACACACCCTACACCCATTTCCCTGTATGCTGCCTTAGATAACTGAGGATGCTTAGGACAGTGGGAATGTAAATTAAATACACATTGTTCTATATTGTTCAGGCTAATGCCAGACAAACACCGCATGCTCAGTACAGATGCTGTCTTTCCCTTCAAGTCATTCCCATCCTGGTCAGGTCGCATGCACGGCTCAGAACCTGCGACTGTGGGAGGGTGGTTACACAGCAATGAGAGAGGCACACAGCGCAGGCAGCAGGTGCTCAGATAGAGTCCGGGGTGTGCTCCGAGCCCTCTTGACCTCATCAGTTCATAGCAGAAAGTCTAGCGGCGTGCCCTTCAGGACAAGAAGAACTCAGCAGGATTGAGTTGTCTTACTGATCTCATGTCACGTTTTGATGACCAGATCTTGTCATCTCTATATAGAAAGTAGAACACGCTCCCTTCTTGTTGAAGGTGGCGTGCTTGTTTTGTCTTAGCTGGGTGAGCTCAGGCCTGATGTAAGAGAGAGGAGAGTCACAGAGGGCCTGTAATCACAGTGTTCACATCAGGCATTCGCTGTGGGAGAGGCAGGCCACTCAGGGTGTGGGCTGTGGAGGCTACTTTGCTGCAGCTCATGGCTCTGGTTAGTATCGTAACTGCTTGAGTTCTCCATGCAAAGTTTTGAAATGTAGCCCACCTCGATCAGAAACTCTGGGAAGTGGGCCTGGAAATCTGCATTGTTACAAGCTTCCGGGTGATTGTCACCTGCTCTGCTTCACTTTTGGCCTCCTTGGCATCTCCTGCCATCATGGGCTCCAAGCACCCTTTGTACCCACAGGCAGCTAGTATTCTTCAGTCTGACACCCCCACCTAAGCTAGTTCTGTGACTGCAGCCAGCTTCTCCAGTTCCTGCTGGACACACACACACACACACACACACACGCTCTCCAGACTTCTCAGATCACCTTGTCTTGTATTCTAACACTGCTAGATACCTTTAGTTTGGGAGAGAAGTAGTTTAAATAAAATGAAATCCTTTTTATTTTTAAATACAGTAGCTATAAGCTGATTAGCAGTTAATAAATGGTGGGTTTTTTTTTTTAGTTGTCATATCCCCACTTAGACCCCAACTGTGTTAGAAGTCTCCACAGCTATTCATCCTCCAGTGACTAAGAGGGCGGGCGATGAGATGCGCTCACAGGATAGCAAACTGAACTTCCTAGGGGGATACCCCACTTCTGTACAGGAATGGTGGTAGGCAGGTGGTGTTACATGGACCCCTCAGAGTCCTTCTCTATCGAGGTCTTGTCTCCTACTGCCTAGCCTCTGCATCTCCTCCAGTCTGCCAGATGCCTTCCATCCCCAGGCCTCAGCACTGTCTCCTCGGTTTACACCCTCGAGACAGACCCTTGGCCTTCTTTATCCAGACCTCGCCAGTCTGCTTCCCCAGCTTATCTGCATCTTTGAGCATTGTGGGAAAAACTTGTGTTCATTTTAAAGACGCGTTAAGATGGCTTTCCTCACGTAAAGCAATGTTCCCCAGCCTCAGTAACAACAGCAACCCTAAATACAGGTTCCACGTATACTAGGTTGATCAGCGATGCCTAGGTAGGATGCCCACCTAAGGTGCCAGGAGGGACAACCGAGCTTTTCAGTGACTCCGTGCCAACCTTGCAAATTCTCCTAAGTCCGTTCCGTTCTGAAGAAATTTACCAACACCCCCATTCACGGGGCCATCTGCAGAGGGAATACCTTGTTCCGAGTTCGTGATTCCAGACTATGGTTAATTAATTCCTCAATGGTAGCTGAGGGCAAAGTAAAGGAATTTGAAGGCCGAGGCTCTGCTTTCTCCTCCCTCCTCTTTTGAAATGAGCCTCGTGCAGTGCGTGTGCCTGCTGGAGACTTTGAGCAGGGGTGATGGTGAACAGGGGTGATGGTGAGCAGGGCTGATGGTGAGCAGGGGTGATGGTGAGCAGGGGTGAGTGAGCAGGGGTGACAGTGAGCAGGGGTGACGGTGAGCAGGGCTGATGGTGAGCGGGGGGGGGGTGACGATGAGCAGGGCTGATGGTGAGCGGGGGTGACGGTGAGCAGGGGTGATGGTGAGCAGGGCTGATGGTGAGCAGGGCTGATGGTGAGCAGGGGTGACGGTGAGCAGGGGTGACGGTGAGCAGGGGTGAGTGAGCAGGGCTGCCTCCCTGCTCTCTGGTCACGTGTGAGCAGATGGCAGACAGGGCAGGTGAGACTGGGAACATGAAGCTTGGGAGAGCTCTATGGATTTGACATTTTCTGATCCCTTGCCGTGCCAACAAAGGAAGACGGGGGAGGGGGGATGGATTCCACCCTGTAAGGGAGGCCAGCCTTGAATGCGCGATTCTGTGGAACCCTAGGGTAACGACCTGTGTTCTTTGTCTCTCCTGCCCCCGCGGGGCCCCAGCACGTGTGGAGCGAGAGCGAGGACTGCCTGCCCTTCCTGCAGCTCGCTCAGGACTACATCTCTTCCTGCGGCAAGAAGACGCTCCATGAAATCTTGGAAAAAGTCTTCAAGTCCTTCCGACCTGTAGGTGCTGCATGGCTCCTGAAGCCGCCCTGTCCCCGTCTGTAGTCTGTAGGGCAGCTTGATAGCAGGGATGGTTGGGAAAGAGGCAAACCCGGGATGACTGTTTTTCTCTTGTCTCCCATGGGCGCTGGGGTATAAAGGTAGTGGGCAGTGGGGAGGCCGAGGGTGGGATGTGGCAGGGCCGGTTGGTGCAGGAATGGTGGCTCTCTCTAGCATCGCTTGAGATGAGAAGTACTGAGAGGGTGGGAGAAACAGAGCCTTTGCGAGACAGTGGAGTCGTCCATTTCTCACCCAGTAGACCCCAAATGCACCTGGAAGTAGTGCAGGTTTTGCTTGTTTGTTTTACCATAGTAGTGCCTGCATCAGGATGACAGCCACAAATCTAGATAAAGCCCATCCAGGGTTGTGTCTGTGGGGACGGGTAGCATTATTGATTCTTTTTCTCGTCTCAGTTCTCAAAAGCGCTTCATAAAGCTCACGTCTCCTCTTGGGACTTAGGACTCTATTTCTCTGGTACGCCGATGGCCTGCTTTCGTGAGAGCTGATGGCGTATGAAGTTTATACTCGCCCTACTTGGTGATCCCTTCCCTCTCTCTCCCAAAGCCGTGCCTAGCATCACGCCCCGCCACGCCATCGTTTGCTCCCCTGCCCACTGTGGATGTAGTCCATGCTTTCAGTGCTGTGCTGTGGAATGGCAGTCTCTACTTCTCCACTAAGCAGCTCAAGCTTGTTTTATGGTCCAGGGAGGTCAGTTGCATAACTGCCTTTCTGACATCTCAGGTGATGTTCCCAGACATTCTAGGTGATGAAATGATGGGGCTCAGATCTTGTCTCTCTTAGCTCATCTTTGTTCCAGGAGTGTGGGCCTTTGGAGGGCTCCAGGTTAAAGTGGGGACCCTGTTGTGTTCTGTTCCTGTAGAGGCCCTAGGCGTTGACTCCCTTCTTCATGATTCTTTTTTTAAAGATTTTATTTATTTATTATGTATATAACATTATTCCTCCATGTATGCCTGCAGGCCAGAAGAGGGAGTCAGATCAGTCAATGCTCTTAACCACTGAGCCATCTCTCCAGCCCTTCTTCATGGTTCTTAGAAATATATATATATACTTTCTTGCTTCCCAGTCAGATTAGGGCAACCTCTCTGGCTTCCGGGGCCTCCCCATACTTAAGAAGCTATTTCTGTACTTGATGTGAAATGGTCCTAGCTGTTCTCAGGAGAAGGGTTGTCCTAATCATTCAGCCTGCCATCATGAGAAATGGAATCTCAGTGGCCCTTGTCACATTCTCTTATTTCAGTCACCAATCTGGCCTTCTAGTCTTTTCCTTGATAATTTTCTAAGCTACTTTGGCTTGTCAGGAGTGGTGAATGCCCGCCAACTCATTTGGACCATTCCCTACTCTGGTCTAGCACAGGAACCAGGTGGAAAACATTGTGTTCCCTTGGGGGAAGACAAGATAAGAAGTACACCTGGGTGTGTCCGCAACAGGTGCCAAGATGGCAGGAAATAAACCAGGGATGAGGGGAAGAGGTGTTAGCCTGAGCTGGGTGGTGGTGGTGCATGCCTTTAATCCCAGCACTCAGGAGGCAGAGGCAGGTGGATCTATGTGAGTTTGAGGCCAAGCTGGTCTATGAAGCGAGTTCCAGGACAGCCAGGGCCGTTACACAGAGAAACCCTGTCTCAAAACAACAACAGCAAGGAGTCTTCAGTGAGGAGGATATTTTGGAGTCTGCAATGATCATAAGGGGTGGGAGTGTCCAGGCACAAAGACTAGCAGATCTGAAAGCCTAGGGTTCAGGAGGTATTCATGTAGCTACAGGGGTTTGGAGTTGGGAACCTGGGCACAGTGAGAGGGGAGTCGAGGAAGACATTGGGTCTCGTAGCTGTGGAAGGACTTGACTTTACCAGTCCTGTAGAGCCTAAAGACACTAGAGCAAGAAGGCCATGCTGATACCCTCTTTTGAGAGGTTCCCTCTTGCAGACTGAAGTGCTCAGATTGACTAGCAGCAGCAAGACCAGTGCCATCTTCCAGGCAGATGTAAAGACAACTCAAAAAATAGCAAAAGTGGAACAAGAACCTCGGATGCTGGAAATGGCTACAAAGTAGACCCAGCTGGCCTCGCTGATGGGTTGAAGTAGAGTATGAGAAAATGAGAGAAAGGTGGAACCTGAGTTTCTTGCCATGCACTGGAGGAACGTCACAGTGGTAGACTGAGGCTGGGAGGGCGGCAGGAAGAGACGCATGGGCCTGGTGCTGTTAGAATGTCGTTTTGTGGGACTGGGAAGTCGGGGGGAACCTGTGTCCCCTGTCCCCTGCTTTCACCTCTATGTGAAGTTGTGGGGTTTTGAGCTTAGAAAGAAGGCCTAGGCAGGATCTGGCTGCAGCTATTCTAGTGGAGAGAAGACCTTATCCAGTTAGGGGGATTGCGAGCCAGGAAGCCAGCACCGTATTCCCTGGGTGTCAGTGGCCACATGGCAGCATCCCCAAGGTTGCCTTTACCTGTACCTTCAGATAGCTGCCTTTTGGGTGTGCAGATGTGGGACTTTAAAATGTCACTGTGCCCCCTTCCAGCCACTGCCCTGTGCAGTCTCTCCACAGGGATAAGGGCTTATCTTGCCACAGCCTTCCGATGGATGCCCCAGGGAGCCTCAGGCAGCCCCTGTTTGCGTGACCTTGCTAAAGCTGGGTGCGTGGCACCTACAGCCTACAGAGCGGCATCACCTCAAGGCCAGGCCACCTCTGTGGACTGCACTCCCTTCTTCTCGCCTGCACTTCCTACACGAGAATAATGTCACAAAGCCTCGCTCCACACACACACTGAAATCTCCTCACACACTGACATCTGATTGGATCTCTGAAGAAAAATTACTCTTTTTTCCTTTCAGCCACCCTACTTCTTTTTTTCCTCCTCCTCATTTATTGTATTTCCCACAAAACGCACTAAGCATCTGTAGCCAAAGCCCAGTAAAGGACAGCAAAGCATACTTGGCTTTTGCCATCTGGGCACTGGTTAGAAGCAGCAGTAGCCACAGAACAGGGGGGAAGCCTTTAGGCAGAGCCTGTATTAGATCAGGCATCCTGTGAGATGCTGTGCAGAATGAGCGGGGGCGCCCACCCCGTCATCTCATTCCACTCTGTGGGTTCTTGGGGGAAGTATTTCTGAGAGGTTGTTTGTGAACATGTACTTCAAGCTGCTTGTGTAGTCTCCGTGGGTTCAGACCCCAGTTCTGGCCCTTGCTGGTGGAGTGGCCTTAGACAGTTTGACCTCTGTTTCTCGGGTTCTCCATTTGTAGGTGAGGAAACTAATGAAGGCAGTTACCTTAGGGTTTCTAAGCGGCTAAATCTTCTCAGCAACAGCCCAGTTTGGCTGGAGGTGACCTGTGTGCACAGTAGGCACCAAACAGATGCTTCTACTGCTGTGTACGGCTGTGTACCATGCAAAATACAGGTGCAAAGAGTTGGTCCGGCCTGGTGAAGCATTATGTAGTGAATCTAGGGTTTTGGTAGTGAAAAAATATCTTGCTAAGTGATATCAACATTTTTAACTGAAATATATGGCTGGATAAGGAACCTTTCAAAGGTAATGGAAGGGTCAAGAAAAGATTATCAACCCTGGTTTTTACAAAGTAATAAACATGGTACATGGTGGGTAACGGTCTATAAAGAAGATAAATAAATGTCTGCTTGGAGGCACATACTGAAGAGCTTCCAGGTGGTGGGTGATTTTTATTTTCTTCTTTTCCCTCTTCTCTAAGAGTCCTATCATATTCACATAATCATAAAACATATATTTTTAGAAATCTGTATAGTTTACATGTGTCAAAATGCTAGAAATTAGGGAGGGACTCCCTGAGACTCAGAGTGCCAGGCAGTGCCCTCCTGCAGAGATCAGCTGGACACACTGAACACAGGAGGAGAGCTGACCCAAGCAGGGCCCATCTTGGCTACTTGGCTTAGAATCCTTAGAGATACCCGAGGGAGGGGAGACTGCTCTGCCCCTTACTATGTGACATCTTGCAGTTTTCTTAACCTTTGTATTCCCGTCTTTAAAATAGGGCCAGCTTCTGTTTCACTGCCCCGTGGATCCATGGGCAATGTCTAAAGCTGACCGTGAACACAGGACTGTCAAAGTCCAGCTGCCCTGGGATGGGGGCATGGACTGGATGTAACAGTCCATCTTTCTCACCTAGAGTGACCCCCATTTCTCTCCACTGGAAGGGCCTCCGGCCTCATGAAGGAGGATCTCAGGCCTGACTCTTCCCCCCTCACTGGTGGCACACAAATGCCGATGTCATCGCCACCGTCGCCGCCCGAGAGTAGCACTGCTCTGGAAATGACTTCAGAGACCATTGATAAATGTGGACAGTCACTTTCCTCACTTCAGTGACTCCCGGGTGACTGTTGCTGGCCTTCGCATGAGATCTAGATAATGGGCCAGTGATATCGATCCTCATTAATGGCGACCTTGCCAGTCATTTCTGCCTCTTTTCATCCCTTATTTGATGACAAATGTCAGCCATGATTGCTGGTAAGCAAGCAGAGTAGGAGAGGAGAGGGGAGTCTCCTAATGCCAGATTCCCCCTCCACACACACACACCCTCCCTGGTTTACATGAACATGAAGGATTGCTACTCTCAGCGAGTTGCCTGCTGCTGCCCCCCCCCCCCCATAGAGGTCTGGTCCTATCACTGTACCTATGGCAGTGTTGAATGCTGTTTGGGCTAATGTTGCAGTAATGACCCAGTCTGGCCTTTGTTCCTCAGGCTCCCATGGCTTCTTTCTCCCAGTTTTCTTGTGGAGGAGGCTGTTACATTGCTTCTTTTCTCAAGAAGGGGCTCTTACCAGAATAGTCCCCTGAGTCTGGACACTGACCTGAGGGAAACCAGTGTTTTTAGGTTGCATCCAGTGGCTCAGGAGCCAGTGATGACTCCACACAAGAAAATCCCTCATGGCCCAGGACAGTGCCATCTTGCTTCTGCTCCTCCTACATGGCCAGTAGCCTTGAAGAAACAGAAGAATCCCCTGGTGCTGGGCTTGCCAAAGTGAGACAGACAGTCCAAGGAGAACTTTGCCCATGTGGATTTAGAAATTTAGCTTTTCTGTATCTTTTGTTTTCTACTCCTGTTATGGACATTCAAACCTTGTCATATTTTAGCCAGGCAGTGGTGGTGTACACCTTTAGTTCCCGGGTTCAAAATACAGAAGCAGGCGGATCTCCGAGCTTGAGTTTTGGCACGGACGAGGTCCCCTCTAGCAGCGCATCTGCCCCTGTTGCCCGTTTGACTCTCGTCTTGCATCGGCCTCTCCATCCTGATATGGAGAAGACTGAAACCCAACACGAGTTTTAGGATAAACAGTTTCTGAACCCCGCAATGCTTTAGCCAGTCTTGCTGCCCATAGTGGCTCTTCTGGACCCCCTTAGAGCAAGTTAGAAATGCAGAGATCCCTCGGGCTCACTGAGCCAGGGTCTGCATTGTAGGTAGTGTTCTTGGTGACTCAGAGACACAGTTAAGTGTGAGAAATGCTGCTTCTCCCTTGGAAGAAGTGTGCCGGGATGCCAGAAGCCCCAAGGACATGCTATACACACCAAAGCCCTAGCTGATTCAGGATGCTCTAGAGGCCCCGTATGCCTTCTCTCCCAGCATAAACTCACCAGCCCAAAGTGCCTGATGTGTGCCCTTCCGGGGTGCTACCTGCTGGTCACAGCCTCAAGTGATTTGCACCTTTGTCCCCAGGACCTGAAATTAGTCCTACAGGTGCCAAGGGCCTAGAGAACTTTAATTCTCGAGTATCACCAGCTCTTCCTTTCCAGTAGAGGCCTGCGTAGCCCGATGAGCCTAGCAGTCTGTGTGATTGTGGACTGTTCAAGGGAGTTTTGTGGTCAGCAAGGCCTGGAAGTGCTGGTGTGTTCCTGTACACAATGGGCAGAAACTTGAGTCCCAGGCTGCTGAAAAAAAAATAGTCACAAAACTAGGATTGCACAGTTGTAGCTACCACAAATCATTTAGCCATCTCAGGCCTGTCAGCCGGGATTTTGCTGTTTCCATTTTCTCGTAAGAACCAGTGGGCACAGTCACAATAAGGGCTCCAGCTCTTTGCCAGGCTGTTTGTCACCCTACCTCTGATTAAGATCCCCCACCACCCTTGGCATGTGACAGTGGTGCTGGATTGTTCCATTCTGCATGGTGCTTCTGGACCTCCTGGTAGTTTGCCACCCTGCATGTGCTTCTGGCTTGTCATAATGTAAATGAGTTGCATGCATTTCCTAGTAGGGATACATTTTGGAAACATTCATTGCCCAGTCGAAAACACAGAAGCTTCCAAGTGTCAGGCACAGCATTGACAGGCATCTCTACAGTAGCCAGCCTGGTAGGTCTGTGTGGGAAGATGTCAGGCCTGTCACCAGAGAGAGTCCTGGCTCTGTCATCTCCTGGGTGATTCTGTATAGTCCCGCAGCATCTCCTGGTCTTGAGAACCACGTAAAGATGCTTGAGATAGCACCGGGCACACACAGTTTTCATTCAGTCTGAAGCATGGTGAGCCAGGAGTGCTAAGTGCAAGTTCAAGGATGGAACGCAGAGGCTAGCGGGGAGTTCTTCTTTCTTCCTGCTTCCTAGCGTGCTCATTCACAGCGAGGACCTCCCTAACTCAACACTGCAGGGAAGAGATAGGAGGAGGCTAGAATGGGCCTATTTGGGCAGTGGGAACTCCCTAGACAGCCCAATGAGATGCATACCAGCAAGGCTGGACAGTGGACACACTGTGGACATTAGCTCTTTCCTCTGAGCTGCAGCCAGTGTCCTAGTTATTGTTGTACAGAGAAGGGTGCATGCCAAAGGTCAAAGGCTCCAGACGGCAGGTCAAGAACCCTCTCGGGGTGTTTGTAGAATCTGTACCAAGGACCCTTAGAAGTCCAGAGCCACTATGCATGGCATCTTCTCTTCCCCACTCTAAAACCTCAGGGGCTGATCAGATTCACAGAGCGTAGGATGCTTCCTGCCCTCTAGGAAGGGCTTCCCTTGAGGCTGGCTCTCTGAGGCTAGAACTGTGTGCTTTGAAGTCATGGGGGTAGCTAGGGAGCTGAGCGGGGAGAAAGGTGTGGTTTGTGCCTGTCAGCCTGCTAGATCCATTTCATCAAGGTGTGCTGAGTCTAAAAGGGGATTGAGAGCCTCTTATGGCATGGCTTGAACTGGGGTGAGTAACCCAAGTGTCCTGTGGGAAGGATCATTATAGATACATGCATGTACAGGCATGCCTCGGCTGTACCGTTCTCACCCATGAATGTCATGGCTAACTACAGTTTCCCACTGAGCCTCAAAATCCTCCCGAACTCAGTTCTCCAAGTGGCCAGTTGCCACCTCAGATTCATCAAATGGGACGGATGCGTTGACTCTTTTATAGTTAGTGGTCCCTCGCTCTTCAGTAATCCTGTATCTCCTCTTCTGATGATTTGGAAGCTGCTGCAGCAGCCCTGCTGTGACAGATATTGCAGCGTTTCTGTCACTTGACACTTCCACTCTGCTGTGTCATCAGCAGCTCTTTAACTAAAAGCTGACCGCCAGCACAGCAACCGTCCGCTTTCACCGTGACTAGTCAGCTGTCTTCGCTCGCGGGACATTATTCGCTCTCTCTCATTAGAGTGTGAGAAGGAGACAATGCTGACACAAAGGAGCTTCTCTAGTCTTCCAAGGACACATGAGGTCCTGGGGGCCAGGGCTGGACAACCTCTCCCTGCCCTTTCCTTCAAGGGACACCAGCAGCCATGAGCTGGACAGGGACAACACACATCTGCAGTTGGCCGAGGCCATCTAGGCTTGTGACTAGCAATGCTTCATAGATGTTTTTGCCCTTTCCTAAGGCTCTGAGGCTGTGAGAGTTCTAGAACTTAAGAGTGTAGACCTTGTCTCAGTCGGGGCTTCTGGCTTCCTGTTCCCCCATTTGAGCCCCAGGGAGAGTGGAGGAAGGGTGGCAGAAGGGTTGAGGAGCCGTGTGAGGAATAAGCAGGCCTACCTTTAATGACTCAATGCAGCTAAAGTTTAGGTCACTGGGGCCCCTTAGTTAAGAGGCCTGAAGGTAACAAGTCTGGGGTCTCCGTGTGAAAAGTCTTTTGGTCGCTCTACTCAGTCATTACGTGCAAAAACCCAGGAGCCCCCGAGTCCATGGCTTTCTGCCAGCACACAAGTCTCAGTTCATATTGCTCACGACCAACTAGGACTACTCGGTTTCTGGTGAAACTACTGCTATCCTGGGGCCAGGGAGATGGCTCAGCAGTTAAGTGCTTTCTTTCCAGAGGACCTGAGTTTGATTCTCAGCACTCACACTGGGCAGCTCACAACTGCCTATAATGCTAGCTCCCTAGGATCTGACACCAGCACTCGCTTGCCCGTAACCCAAACACGTACCTGCATACATAATTAAAAGTATTTCTCTGGAATTTACCTTGTTTCCCATATCATAATCCATAAAGGATTTGTGGAACATAGATGAAAAAAGAAGCTGGGGAAATGGTTTAGAGCATCTGTTGCTCTTTCAGGGGACCCAAGTTTGATTCCCAGAACTCACCCGAAGGCTCACAACCATCCTTAACCCCAGTTTCAGGGGGTCTGATGCTTTATTCTGAGCTCTGTGGGTACTGTGCATGCACATAACGCACACACATACTGCCGAAACATTCATATGCATAAATACAAATCAAGGCATTTTTAAAGATGAAATGGAAAAAAGTTGTCCACAATCCCAATCTTACAGAAACTCTTGTCCCCCCCCATGCGTGCACGTGTGCACACACACACATATACACACTCACACACACTAAATGTTTACAGAAATAGAACGCACCAGCAAGATGGCTTGGTGGGCTGCAGTGTTTACGGCCAAGGCTGCGGACCTGAATTCTCTATCTAGGCTTCACACGGTGGAAGGAAAGAACCAACTCTTGCAAATTGTCCTAGGATCATATACATACTGATATAAGTGCATATAAACACACAAAATAAATAAATGTAATTGAAAGAAAACTCAATTTTGAATATATTTAATTACAGCTTTTTCCCCTATGCATCCATATGAGTTTTAAGAAAATGTGTATCATAATTAAAATGTAATTTTATCATGTTTTTAATTTTATGTGCCTCTTATCATTAATTTTAAAATTCAGTGTTAAGTATATGTAAGATTCTATCTTACTAACATGCCATAAAATTTAACCCTTTGCTGTTGAACATCCTAGCTGTCTTAGCATTTTTATCCATGTGCTTCTCTTAATAAATATCCCCATGTATGTGGGGGAGAAAATAAACCAGAGGATTGATTTGGGGACATTTCGAAGGGACATTAGCACTGGTCATAGTGTGATTCACTAACATGCCGGCTATACCTCATATAGGTGTGGTTTGTGGACCTCTGTGCTTTGACATTTAAAAAGGAGCCTCTCTGAGGTACCCAGTGAAATTGACAATCCATGAAGCTTCGATGTGTCTTCTATTAAATTTGTAAAAGTTGTGGTGAGGGGGGGGAGTTGAGTTCAGGGGGATACTCACTGTGTACAGACGAATTTGGGTCCGGTGTCTTTGGTCTTCTGCCTGAAGTCCTGGCAATCCTTACAGCTGTTGCTTCTCTTGTCCAATTGTATCTCTGTAGCTGCTGGGGCTTCCAGATGAAGACGACGCCTTTGAAGATTACAGTGCCGATGTGGAGGAGGAGCCAGAGGCGGACCACCCCCAGATGGGGGTCAGTCAGCAATAAACTCCTAGTTCGCCTTCCGGAAGGGGAGTAAGCCCTGTGCTGCCCATGAGGTCCTGTGCTCCCCAATGGGGTCCTGTACTCCTGGGGTAGCTTTTTGTATTAGCTCTTCAAAACAGGACATCTGGCTCCTGACATCCAAATGAAAATGAAATACCTTTCAAATGACCAAACCATTTCTGTGATGAGCTTCGCTCAGAAGTGATCAGAATTTCTGCCCCGCTTTGCCGGGGTTTCTGTGGAGATGTCTTGGTAGCCTTTGCCACTTTGAAGTTAGAATCCGTGTTGTGGCTGCCTGTTCCCTCTTGAGTTTATGTTGGAGAATTAACGTTTGCTGATTGGAATGTAGAGAACGCTGAATGTATTAAGGGTGTGTTTTGAGTCCTCACAGGGGACCTTGCTGAGGAAAAGCATGACAGAGGAGAAATGCAGCCTGCACTTTTTATGTCCCTTTGACGTGTCCGTAAGTGAAAGGTCTTGCTTAGGAAGCATGAGTTTTACTATCTAGTTGTGAACTGCGCAAGCGCAGATGCCGAGGGTGAGGGCGGCTGAGCTCCTTGGAGAGTTTCTCCACTGTTAGATTGGTTACCTGAGCATGTAGCGGCCAGCCACTGGTCAGTGTAAATGTTCCGCGGTTGTTTGATCGTTTTAAAACGTGCTAAGTCCAAAGCCTCTTTTAAATTCTCATAGTGGAAAGTATAGATGGGGTGAAAGATGTAAGTTATTGATTTCTTAAAACTGATTCTAAGCCTGCATATGAAATGAAACCTTCACCTTCTCTCTTATGATGAGACGGCAACTTGTTAAATCATGAAAACAACCAGAATCCGAGTAAGTGACCCTTAAGCTTTGAAGCCATAGATGAAATCTAATAGGAAAATAAACCAGGAAAAAAATTAGATATAATGAAATCCTTTCCTTTCCTAATCTTTTATTCTTTAGAGAATGTCAAGGAAAGGCTCCCAGTGAGTTATTTTATTTAAAATGATAATGAAATACGCTAGTGAAGCGCCATGCAGTGAAATCGTAAAGTGATGTGAACGTGGGAGTCATAATTAGGGGGTTACTTAGTTAAAAAGAGGATGTTTTTGATGATCAGGACACACAGACAACTCTCAGAAGTAACTGCTGGCATCCTTTTACCAGTAAGTACCAGGACATTCTCTAAATGCCATCGCGAGACCCTCCCATGTCTTGGGTTCTCATAACTTAGGATGCAAGAACTCCCTTCACAGCCCTTGACTCCTCCGTGCATCCAGGGTGGGAATGTTGTGCGTGCGTGCACACGCACACACAGACACACACGAACACACACATGCAACCTGATTATGTTATCAGCATTTTAAACCCAAACCAAACCCACCATCGCAGAAGCTTGTGTACATGGTATGGTAGCCGTGTCCGGGCATTTTGCTTAACCGCCATGAAGGGTCTCATTCCTTGGTGTGCTGCAGAGTTTAGTTGCTGGGTGATGGCACATTGTGGATTCCATCTGTACTTTTCTACCTGTGTTTTTATTTTCCCTTGAAGTCGCCCATTGGCACAGTTAGACTTAGTACTCCTTCCAGGGTGTGAGGTCCAGTCCTGTCCATGTTCCCTCTGCCATGTCTGCTCATCGTTGGGAGACTTGAGCTCTCTGTCTTGGGGATACGGTCCAGGGCAGGTGACTTCCCTTTAAACATAATAGGCCACACAAATAAATGACTTTTGGAGGTAAAATGAAGACACCTGAGCAGTTTGCTCCATCATGAGGTAACCTGGAATTTTATACAGAGGCTTCAAATCTAAATTAACGTATCTTCGAACGTTAATATAAGATGGGTTTTTATGAAAAACGTATTTGAACTTTGACCAAATATACTTGGTATCAATCATATTAGTGTTCTCTATTTGTTCAAGTTGAGTATAGACCCCTAGTGGTGCAGCGGGCTACTGACAACTCTCGTCAATCTTTTGTGTGTTTCCCCGCCCCCCTGGGGGCGGGGTCAGGAAGAGCAAACGTCCCTGGATGTGGCTGATTTCCATGACAAAACCCCTAGGCGTCAGCAAATCTACTGTCCTTGCAAACCTCCCTCTGTCTGCTGTTGTGTGTATCCCTTCCAGTGTGCACCTGTGTGTGCAAGCACACACATAGTCACCCCTACCCATTCTGTCAACGTTCATATCCCAGTGGGGGCCCAAGGCAAGCAGCCTGTGGTTGGTTAGTTACGGAAACGGGTCTGCTCCACAGTGAGAAAAATGTGACCCTTCCCAAGACCACAGAGGCATTCCAGGACTACGGAGACCTCAGCCCTTGGCTGCAAACAGTGATAAGTCATGTAACTTTCCTACGAAACAAGGGTATTTGCTCTGCTAGCTTTAAACACCGTCCTGCTGCGGCTGCCGTAGGAAGTATGTGAGCGGAAAAAGCGACAGTCAAGGGCAGTGAGGGACACGGGAAGAAAATAATTTGGAATTTTGCCCAAAATGGTGTCCTTAAGATGTTGACCATGCCACTACCTTAGAATATGGTGGCAGTGGATGTCCAGATCCTGGAGCCTGGAGTCTGCCCCCTCCCAAAGGCTCTGGAGTTGGTTGGCAGTTAACCCAAGAGGGGAGCTTAGCTTGAAGAATAGCTGTGAACAGATGTGTGCTTGTCTTGTCGCCCTGGAGAGTGACAGCGGAAAACCTTGGTAGGTAGTGGACGGAGACACGAGGGAAGGACTGATCGCCTGCTGACCGCGATGACCGGCTGTGAAGTCTGAATTCTGCCCAGGGAGACACGTTCCTCCTATCTACCTGGTGATAGCATTGTGCAGGCTTCAAGGATCCAAGTCTAGAGCCAGGGAGCGTAGTGAAGCCCCATGCGGTGCCTGGCACCACTCGGGTTCAGTCCCTTGGAGTTTGTGACTCCAAGGCCCACTGCAGCACATGGTGTATTTTGTGTTCCCATGACCAGAGCACAAAACGTCTGTTATACGATGAGACTGTCCTTGCACGCTGCCGCCAGAGCTGGTTTTGCAGTGTGCTTAAGGAAAACTGAAGCACACTGGGGGTGACCCCATTGCTCAGGACAGACAGACAGACAGACAGACAGACAGACCTGTTCTCTAGCACAATGCATGGCTCTGAATATTGTTTCAGTTTCTCAGAGCAGGGAGAATGTGTCTGGGGTGTTATCATCCCAGAGTGGAGTGTTTTAGTTATTGCATGTTAAAACTCATCAGTTGGGAAACAGTTTAATGAAATTGGGTTTTCTACAGTGAGAGGAATGTGGAGATGGGCAAGATTTAATGTGGGTCAGAGGAGATGAACAGGGACCACGAGAGAGAAGGGTCTCAGTTCTTCTGGGTTGTAAACAAAGCACATAGCCCACACTTACCTCCTGGGGTACAGGACCAAGCAGCCTTTTCTTAGCTGTCTCTAGAGAGCTGCTTTCCTCAGAGACTGGAAGTTTAGAGGATGCTGGTGATGGCTCTGTGACTTTCACAGTGGCCCCTGCCAAGCCAAAGGCACGGTAGGTGCCCTGTACACCTGGTGGAATTCCTTCCCCTAAAAATAAAATCCACGGCTAGCCAGGGAAGCATGCCTTCGCGAGTGCTGGCTCCAGAGTGGCTGCAATGGCAGCTGGCAGAACGTGAGCCATGCCTGCCCTCTCCTCTGCTGGTGCTTCCGCTGTCAGTGAACCGCAAATGAAGGCTCTTGTCCCTAGAGTAAGCCTTGAGGGGGAGATGTCATACCTGGCTTGTGGCATCGTCTCCAAAAGTGCACAAGAAGATTTTCGCATTAGAAATCCCTCTTTCGTACAAACTCAGTTACTTGGTTTAACGGTAGCTGGTATGACTTGAGAAGCTGAGGTCTTTTAGGTTTCCTATGGAGTAGGTGTTAAACTTGCAGGAATGCTGGCAGCCTGTGGCCTGTGGCAATGGCCATGAGCATTTCATGTTAGGAACCCCATTCACCACACTGCCACGCAGAATAACTCAGAGCAGCTTAAAGACTGCACCAAGCCACAGTAGTCCGCTTAGGGCTGTGTTCAAGTTGTTCGGTATTAGGGAGAAAGCTGGCAGTGTGGTCCTCATATCTCCCTGGGCCTTCCTTTCGTTTTTGTTTCTTGAGATTCGATTTTAGCAGGTATCTTCTGAACTGGCCTAGACAGATGCTCTATATACAAATGCCAGCTTTCTAAAAGGCGCTAAAATAAACAGACAGTGCTGGGCAAAGTCCAAACCCAGCTACCATCCAGTGCTAATTTGTGTACAAGCAAGATTTCAGCCACCGCAGAGAAGCAAATCCGAAGAAACAAAAGCAAGGGACTTTGTTTGTTTTTTTTTTTGGTTTTTCCGGGCTGGGAGATTTTCTGTGCGGTGTGTGTGTGTGTGTGCTTTCTTTGAGTTCATATTTCCTTTCAGAGAGCTCTCTTGTAAATGACAAACTGTGAAATGGGTTGCCAAAAACTTGTCCTTTCTTAGATGCTTCAGACAGAACTGTGTAAATTCTCTCTGCACCCTGTCCCATCTGCTCCTTCCTCCTTCTCCTGAGAGCGGGGACCACATCCGAGGATGTAATTACCATAAGCTTGCTATTAAAGAGCCTTTTCGCCCTGGTGGTATTTGCCTTTTTCTTTCCTCTTCCCACTGTTTAAGGTCATGTGATGTATAAATGAAGAGCAAGGACCATGGGCACGGGCGGGGTGGGGTGGGGACAGTCACATCAAAGGCGTGGATCCGGAGGTGTATCTAACTGCGGCTCCGGCTAGTGTTTAGCAATTTATCGTCTCCCTTTGAACTAGGACTAGTTTCGTGTGTCAGAATTTCTTTTTGCAAACCTGGTTAGGAATCCTTTGTAGCACAATTAGGAATCTGTGTCCTGTGACAGATTAATAAGGACATGATGACATTTCCTCAATGTCTTTGTTCCCAGTTGCTGTCATTCACTAGATCCAGACATTCAGTAGGAGCTCAAAAGTTGGCGGCAAGCTTCACTCTTTGGTTAAAGATAAGTTTTCCCCCTCCGAATGGGGGGTTCTCTAGACTTGAGAGTGGCTTAGCAGGCCGGACTTGGGGCAGTGTGTGTTTATGTAACAGCATGGGGCGTCCTTGGGTTTGGCCAGAGGTTCCAAGTCCAAAGTAAGGCTCTATGTGAACATTCTAAACCTCTCTAGGCTAAACCTGATTCCAGAAGGGCTGTATAGACAGATTTTTATCATGGGAAAATTCCTGTTTCTCTGACTTGATCACACAGGCAGCTTGGCCCCTTTACATGCAGGGACAGATACAGCATGACTCACGTCTCCTCTCATTACAGTCCATCTCTGAAATCATTTGGCAGACGGACGGGTCTGGCCCAGACAGGTCCCTGACAGTCTTTGTGGCACTACTCACTCCCCCTCACACACACACACACACACACACACCATCCCCTTGTTTTCGCATGGGTGAGAGTAAGCATGGTGACCTCATCTCTGATTTCCCTTGGGGAAGGAGCAGGGGCAGAACACCTGGCCCTGCTGTAGAGGAAGGAGTGCCACAAAGTCCCATAAAGTCACAATGGTGACCTGCACTGTGATGCTTTTCTCTGATTTACCCCCTCTTCCTAGGATCCCCTTTGCCAGGCAAAGACCCACAGCTGTGAATTAGCCCAAATGCCACTGCTGGAAGATGGCACATCCCGCCTTGCCACGCATGCCTTCTCCTTTAGTAGATCACAGGATTCAAAGTACAACAAAGAGGGAAGGGCGGGGTTCCTCGCTTAGGGATGTAATAAACAGTTTTGTTTCCATAGTAAAGTCGGGCAGGTGGGGTGGGTACCACAATATCCCCAGGGCTTGCTGAACACACATGGGTGGATTCATAGCACAGGGGGAAAAAAACCCCACACCCCAGCATTTGGAGGCACCAGGGCTAAATGTCTAGCTCAGTGTCCTGATGAATTGGGCGACCAAATATTCTTCCATTTGTCGGGCTTAGCCATCTGGGAGTTTGGAAGCAAGGTTGAAATGCCTCCCAAACCAGCTGCCCTTGGCGGGGGGAAAGACTTGGGCAAGCTGGAATTAGGCAGCCGAAGAACACAAGTGTGGAAGGAGCGGCAGCCCTTCCTTTTCCAGGGAAACAGCCCCCAAAGTGGATGTCAGTCCAGCCAGACTCCAGGTGTAGTGGGTCCTCCGGGATGCCTTTTAATTGGGAGCCTCTAGAGGTCAGCACAGCATAAACAAAGGGCTGAGCCGCACACTCGCTTCCCCGCGCAGCCTTAGGGAGCAGCCAGCCAGGGTAGGGCAGGAAGTCAGCAGGCACCTTGGGCATAGGAGGAGAAAACGTGTCTCTTCACATCAGCCTGCTTCTCTGCCTGTCTTTCTGGTCTGTGTCTGCAGCTCCCACACCTGGGTATCAGACGGTCTGCTAATTGACAGGTGGACGGCTGAAGCAACAGCTACGTTTTGTACTGATGGACTCAGCTCAGAGCTCTTCCTTTGGCTGGTTAGCACATAGACTTTGCTCAACTTCGGCTATTTGTAGCACGATTAATAAAAACCCAGAGACAGATATTGGGGTTCAGTCTGAAGGTCAGAAAAGCAAAAAGTCACTAGATTTTACCTCTACCTCAGTCCAAAATGGCGATCCTGCCTCCAGGAATCTCAGAATGAGACTGTGTGTGAAAGCTGCTCCTCCCATCTTATATTCCTCTCTAGTGCTGGCATTAAAGGCGTGCACCACTACCACATGGCAAACTAGTATGACTACTGGGATTAAAGATGTGTGTCGCCACTGCCTGGTCTGTAAGGTTGACCAGGGCAGCTGTTTTACTTTGATCTTTAGGCAAGCTTTATGTATTAAAATACAAATGAAATATCACTACAGCGATCAGTGGGCTTGGGGAAAACTTAAGTCAGGTCCTG